TCAATTAGAATTCTTATCTAAATAAAATGTCACATGCAAGATTCGAACCTGCGAAATTCACTAACACACACACTACCCTTCGTTACACTCGTTAATTTCGTCTGAGGCAAGGCCTGACGGTGTACTATTTGTTTTTATAGAATACTTCGAAATTAGTAAAGGGAGAACCCTTTATTTTGTAGGTAAGACATATCGTGCCTGCGCCGAATGCCACTGAACTTTCTTTGTTTGATATGGGATAGGTATAAGAGTAATACCTAATACAGTACAGTTTATATCATAAGTCACACAGTTTTATGAAATTCGCTGGCCGACTCTCTCTGCGCGAGGTATTAAAATAATATGTAGGTACGTTTCGAAACTTTTGGGTCCATGATGACCCCGTCCTTTGAGGAGTATGTAGTACCGAAACGCAACAATATACTTATCACTATATTTTGCGATATTTGTCTCGCATTACAAAATATCAGTTCGTCACGTATACGAAAGACACGAGGACGAAAATTAAGGCACTCCTGCAAGTGCAGGCGAGAGCAATCTGCATGACATCAAAAAGCACAACCCCTGCGCGGGGATGTAGGAGTCAAAGGGCTCACCATGCGCTGGCGGCCAAGGTACTCTAATGATGTTTTAAAATAGGGTATACCTTGCATTGCGCAGAGGTAACATATAAAAACAAGGGAACATGGCCTAGTTCGCGGAGCCATATAATATCAATTTGTTATTGCAATAGAATAAAATTAGGTATATATACCTTACAAAATATCCTTGCTGAGATTTGATTGTTCTTTTTTGTAAGACGTTCTACGGACTAGGTGTGCCGTAAACTCTCACTGCATTATTCGGGGTCACAGCGACACCCTTTTAATGAAATTCTTTAATCTTAAAGAAACACCTCAAAGAAAAAGAACTTTGGAGGTAGAAATTAAATATACAAGTCAACATTTTTTAAAGTGAGGACCACGTGTTTATAGCGTCGAACACGTTGCGACGTGTCAAACAAAACACAAACTTAAAAACCACGTGTCTGATTACAGACAGAAGTTTAAATTAAATAATAAATTTGTTGATGAAAATCCATAAATCAATCAGTGACCTTACTTCACTCCGTGGCGTACACGGACGCCATCTTCAAATATTTCGACCGAATAATACTTATAACTAAAAATATATTACCCTGAGGCAAAATGTATCATCACTTACAGATAACTAGCAGCCTACAACGGATCAACATTTTGTGTTGAAAATATTTAAATCGTGTCACTCAAGGCTTATGAAAGGCACTATGATTACTGGATTTTCATTTGATCGTCCTCAAAAGAAGAGAACGAATTTATTACTTCGATAACAACCAAATTTCTTTAACACACTTTGCTTATTTAATTGGGATCTTACTCTTGATAAATAGTTCACTGAAATAGTTATCTATTTAGATCACGGGCTCGGCGCCCTTCCTGAACAATTTATTTACTCGTAAACGGACTTTAGACTGATTCTTGCTTGGTCTAAATTATGAACAGTGGTATGAAATTGCAAAGTAGTGTTCGACGGAAAACCGCCTTCAGAAATTTGATTTTCCAAGTGCATGCTCAATAAAATAGAAAGGACTTACCCATCTTGCAAACTCACTGAATTTACAATTTAAAAAGGACAGACATTACACAAATATAAAATTTAAAAAACGAACGGTGTAAAACCGTTATTAATAAAAAATTTAAAAGAAAATAATTTTTTGAAAACGCCATATAACACAAAAATGAAATAGTTAAATTAAAATAATTTATTAAAGTTTATAATTTTTGAATTATAAAACTTTGGCGAAATTCAAAAAATTATCTTCTGAGGCGACCGCGCGCCGGCGTTGATAAATCGCCAATGAAGCCAAGCGGGCCGACTCGCCCCGCCCTGCCTGTCGGAGTGAGGAGCGGGGAGGTGGGAGCAGCCAATCACGAGCAAGGACAGATAGGTGCGACCGTAGCTGTAGGTGTAGATGAGTTGCTTCTCTCATGTTAAGTATGATTATAGGACGGTACAGTTGTTTAATGTGTCATTCGTGGCAACCAACTTCTTAGTTACTTTGACTTTCCATGAGATTCTGGTTATTTCCAGGTAATGTCAGTAAGCGTCGAAAACGACGCTAGTACTGAGTAAGCCATCTGTATAGGCGCCCCGCGCGCCGGTTCCCTAATTTGTGCAAATACCACGAAACTGCAACTCCTAACAATAACTGCTCGTCAATCTCTCTAGTTAGCGCTGCACAATCTGGCCGCGCCGCACCTGCAGGTTAATTATTAAGTTTGTTCAGCAGCAGATTAGCGCCCGACAACCGCAAGTCAGCGAAATTTGCAACTACAGTACCGACGTTCGAATAGGCCATATTTGACAGCTGTCAGACCCATTCTAGAATACATGTCAGCAAAGAAAAGTAGACCTTATGTCAGAGCATTAACATGATTTAGGGCATATTTGGCAGCTGTCAAATATGCCCTATTCGGATGCCGGTACTATAGGAATGGAGTTATTCTAGTAACTTTTCAACCGAGTTCAATATAGAATGGAGTTCTCAATTCTTTCCTCTATCTTCTAAAATGAAATGTTGAGTAGTCAAATACTTTCTCTCAAATACCATGAAAGTGCAACACCTAACAATAACTGCTCGCCAATCTCTCTAGTTAGCGCTGCACAATCTGGCCGCGCCGCACCTGCAGGTTAATTATTGAGTTTGTTCAGCAGCAGATTAACGCCCGACAACCGCAAGTCAGCGAAAATTGCAGCTAGGAATGGAGTTATTCTAGTAAGTTTTTAAATCGACTTCAAAATAGAATGGGGCTCTCAATTTTTTCCTCTATCTTCTAAAATTTAAATATGTTGGGTAGTTTAAATACTTCCTCTCAAATACCACAAAATAGAGAGTTTACAGAAGGTTCACTCGATCCTATTCAGGATTTTTGCGATAGTCATTTGTTACATAGCCAGGACTGCTACTGTCAACATCAACAATCTCGAAGTATAAGAAAGAATATCGAAACAGTAAAATCTGATACAAAAACGTCATATGATTCTGAGCCAATTTAAATCTAAGAAATGTGTCATTCGTGGCAACCAACTTCTTAGTTACTTTCACTTTCCATGAGATTCTGGTTATTTCCAGTTAATGCCAGTAAGTGTTAAAATCGACGCTAGTACTGAGTGAGCCATCTGTATAGGCGCCCCGCGCGCCGGTTCCTTAATTTGTACAAATACTATGAAACTGCAACTCCTAACACTGACTGCTCGTCAATCTCTCTAGTTGAACAGTCGGCGTGAGTTTGCGCTGCAGAATCTGGCCGCGGCGCACCTGCAGGTTAATTATTGAGTTTGTTCAGCAGCACTGCACGGATTCACGATTAACGCCCGACAACCGCAAGTCAGCGAAATGTACAACTAGGGATGGAGTTATTCTGGTAGCTTTTCAACCGACTAAGAAATAGGAGAGGACATGGTTGTATATTTTTGTATGGTCACCGATTTCTCAACAGATTTTCCTTCTTTGATTTAGAAGAATATTGTACCCTTCCTTGCTTTATAATCGTTTAGGATATAGAGTCGAATGATCTGGTGGCATATGTCATAGTTGACTGGTTGTAGTGAAGAGTATCGTTTAGAGGCATTAATGGTTGGTAGATATCGAAAAGATGTAGATTAGATTCCTACTCGTGTCGATATTTTGAAGTCCTTTTTGTCATCCATCATCGAAGACAAGTAGGAAATAGTTCTAACATTTGAATTAGCTCATCTTAGGTAAACTGGCTCATAATCTAGCCTGCAAATCAGCGTTCAGACTGACTGACTGCCTAGTTTATTTAGGCGGTTGCGGGGATGGAAAGTGGAAAAGGGGTGGGGGGGACAATTCGCAGCACTAACCGGATTACACCAGATTACCGGCTAGTTATTTATTTATGCTGTTTAGTTGTTTCGAGCCGAGAGCGGCGTTTAAACCCAGTAATGGACCAAACGGATTTGGATGGACCGAGAATTTAGGATTACATCGTGCTTTTGGGTTAAAATGGATGGAGTTTGCTGTTACATAAAGCTCCTACTAAACACTGTTATACCATATCCCTATAAAAGTAGCTTGTGATTTTTTTTACCTGGCATTTTTAGGCCGACGTAAGTTTTTCAATTGATAAAACTTTAAGCGATTTGCGGCTGGTCATAAAACATTGCCAAATCCTTTTGCAACATAATCCTTTGAGCACAAGCTCTCATAAAACATGTTACGCCGACCCCAACTGATTTGGGACAAGGGCAGGCAGATGATGACGAGTGATATTTGTAAGGACTTGGAATGTTTTGCAATTATTTTTATGGACATAATATACCTAGCTTTTATGTAAAGAAACTCTTATTTCAACTGTCAAATTATCTTGTCAACAGCGGTGACTGAGCGCATCGGCACGCCGTCAACAGTCACGACGAGCACTACAAACACGCCCGTGACGTCATCCCCCCTCCCCGCGCCGCCGGCCGTCACCTCAGCCAACTGCGCGGTGTGCAACATGTCTGGTGCCACGAGGACGGTGTCCAGGTCGAGAGCAGTGCATTACGGGCTGAAGGAGGACGCGGTAGGGGCGAGGGTCTGCGAGCCCTGTCACTGCAGGTCAGTTAGGTATAATGTCGTGGTGTTTGATTAAAAATATGAAACTTTTGAGCTGAGGCTTCAAATCGAAGATCAGGCTGACAGTGCTTGAAACCTTTAGTCCCGGTGAAATATTACTTAGACTTAGGTGAGAAATCTGTTTGAAGCTGTTTGATTGACAATCGACTAAATATGATGCTTTTTTGAGCTTTCTAAGGCTTCTAAGTGATAAGATTGACAGTGCTTGAAACCCTTAGTCCCAGTAAAATTACTTAGATGAAAAATCTGCGTCAAATAGAATACCAATTTTTTTAAAACCTTCTCGTCTTTAGGTATACAATTTAGGAAAACTTGCAAAATTTTCACCGCAGGCAGGATTTGAGCCGCTGAAGCCCAGTTGGTAGATGCGTCGCCAGTACAGATGGCGAGGACGCTGGTTCAATCCAGCCTGCGGTTAAAATATTGCAAGTTTTCCTAAATCTACGTCAAACTGTTTGATTGTAAATCGACCAAATATTCGGCTTTACTTTCTATGTAGTGCACAGCTAAGTCTGTTTATTAAGACTTAGACTAAGAGAGTAATTAATAATAATAAGAGAGTAATTCAAGGCTCTCAAAGATATCTTGCGAATCTTCCAAACCAATAAAATGTATGTAAGTAATCCACGATTATTTTGTCTACAGATGTGTCCGATCACGGTATACGCGGTGTCCGGTGCCCACGTGTCCCGGGCCCAGAGTCAGAGCGAAACGGTTACGGCATTTACCTCCTCGGTGGCATGACTTACCCCTTGAACTGAAGAGGCCACTTATGGATGAATTTCGTAAGTCAACCTTCCATTTATTTCACGTATTAGACTGCCAGCGGATTCTACGTTTCCAGAGATTAAAATATTGCATCTCATTATCATATATCTTTCTTACATTTATCTCTATAAATCTTCAAATCGTTGTTTGCACCTTTTGAATAAAGGAGGTATTAAAACATGTGACGAATAGAGTTTTGAATATGAAAATGTAGCTGAAAGAGAGAAAGTTGATGATGATGATTGGCACAAAATATTGCTTCTAATGTTTCTAATATATCTTCCAACAGAAATCCCGAGTGAACTGAGCAAGTGTTGCTTAGCTTGCTTCAAGCGGATAACGCGGCGGCTAGAGGGCGTCGGGGAGGCGAACTCCGAGCCTAGCGAAGACGAGGCGGCGCGGTTTAGGGCTCTTTTGAGGGACTACGGCACGGCATGGGACCGCATGGCGGCGCAGGCCGGCCGGACGCCCGCCAGCCTCAAGGCCTTCTACTTCACATACAGGAAGAGGTAAGCCTCATGCTTGTAACATCTCTAGTGAGGTGGTATAAGCCTCATACTTGTAACATCTCTAGTGAGGTAGTGCAAGCCTCATGCTTGTAACATTTCTAGTGAGGTGGTGTAAGCCTCATGCTTGTAACATCTCTAGTGAGGTGGTGTAAGCCTCACACTTCTAACATCTCCAGTTAGGTGGTGTAAGCCTCATGCTTGTAACATCTCTAGTGAGGTGGTGTAAGCCTCATACTTGTAACATCTCTAGTGAGGCGGTGTAAGCCTCACTCTTGTAACATCTCCAGTGAGGTGGTGTAAGCTTCGTACTTGTAACATTTCTAGTGAGATGGTGTAAGCCTCATGCTTGTAAAATCTCTAGTGAGGCGGTGTAAGCCTCATACTTGTAACATCTCCAGTGAGGTGGTGTAAGCCTCATACTTGTAACATCTCTAGTGAGGCGGTGTAAGCCTCTTACTTGTAACATCTCTAGTGAGGCGGTGTAAGCCTCTTACTTGTAACATCTCTAGTGAGGTGGTGTAAGCCTCATACTTGTAACATCTCCAGTGAGGTGGTGTAAGCCTCATACTTGTAACATCTCTAGTGAGGCGGTGTAAGCCTCATACTTGTAACAACTCTAGTGAGGTGGAGTAAGCCTTATACTTGTAGCATCTCTAGTGAGGTGGTGTAAGCCTCATGCTTGTAACATCTCTAGTGAGGTGGTGTAAGCCTCATACTTGTAACATCTCCAGTGATGTGGTGTAAGCCTCATACTTGTAGCATCTCTAGTGAGGTGGTGTAAGCCTCATGCTTGTAACATCTCTAGTGAGGTGGTGTAAGCCTCATACTTGTAACATCTCCAGTGATGTGGTGTAAGCCTCATACTTGTAGCATCTCTAGTGAGGTGGTGTAAGCCTCATGCTTGTAACATCTCTAGTGAGGTGGTGTAAGCCTCATACTTGTAACATCTCCAGTGAGGTGGTGTAAGCCTCATACTTGTAACATCTCTAGTGAGGATGGTTTAGGGCTCTGCAATACGGAACTTATAGCCTTTTTTGTTACTTTACGTAGGTTCGTTTCTTTTTATGCTTAGATAATCAGTATCTTTTGTACATATTAGATTACATGATATTCAGACTGTCTGATGATCCTCGGGCCAATTTCACTCACATCATTTGAACCGCCTGAAGTAAAGTGAAGTTCGCGCAAAGAGCGTCAGACAGTCTGAATATCACGTAGTCTAATACCCCCTTTAGAAGCATAAAACTTGAACACGCGATAGCCCTGTATTTGATAGGCAACATTTTCATGTATATTATATAACATGAACATTTGTTTCCAGGTTTCAACTAGACGCGCTGGTAGCGGAGCGGCCGCCCGCGAAGGGCAGCGAGAGCGACAGCAGCGTCGTCTCCTCCGGGGACACCGACACCGCCAGCGCCGAGTCCCCCCGCCCCCCGCCGCTGCCCGGCCCGCGCACCGACGCGGTCGCCCCGAAAGGACGAAGAAGGGACGAGTACGACTCATCAGCCACAGAGACGGCGGATGAGGAGAACGAAACGCCCACTGCCAAGGTAAGCCCTATACCTCCGCATCTGGGCGGACTTTGTCACTCTCTTCAATAAAAAAGAAATAGAAACAGCTACTTTATGGTGATGTCTCGTGCCTACAATTTAATCCAAGCGATTTTGACACTCATAGCCGCATAGAAGATTTCAAGTTATATTAATATGTATAATTTTAGGCCTGTTTTGGAGTTCCTCCGCTCTGAAACATGATTAAAGGTTTTATATTGATTACCCGCTCATCTACCGGTTGTACAGCGTATATACCACTGATTTTAAATCTTACTAACCTCACTTAATGTTCTAAACCTATGAAAAACAGTACAATAGCTGGTATACATAAGTCATGTGACTAAAACCAATTTCCCTTCCGCAGATAATCCCCTCAATAACGCTGTCGACGCCTGTATCGTCGACGGCGCCGCCCACGCCTCCCCTGTCCACGGCCGCGGCCACGGCCACGGCCACGCCCACTGCTGCGCCGGCGGCGGTGTCCGTGTCGCGCAACGGGCCCGGCGCGCCTCTCACCGTCAGAGACGTCGTGCTGAATATGATCGAAATCAGCCTATCGAGGCCTACGCCGCCCAAACTCATGCAGCCCAAAGTGAGTACCTACGAAAAGAACTCTTAAGGCGTAATCCTGATCACATGATCATGTTTTTGTTTTTCAAACAAAGCACAAAATCATAGACAAAATATCGATATACATTTCGTCATCATTATAGAAATATGAAAGGCCTCACCGCAATATGAATCGGTCGGGTCTGTTGTCTCAAAACATGAGTATGCTCTTTCGCAAAACAAAGCCTACGTCAAAACTCAATATGCCGCCTATAAACTTATATGCTGTATTAAAACTGAGTATTCTGTTCGAAATTGATTGAGTTTATACATTGAGAATTGAACACTCTAATAAGTAAGCGTAATTAATTATACATTCATCATCAAAAGTTTCCGATTTTCCTAAATATGAAACTTCTCCCACAGCTACCAACAACAACGGCACCTAGAGAACAGCAGCAGTTGGCAACACTGAGCGTGGTCAACTCCTCGCACGTGGGCGTCGCCTCACCCGTGTCCCCGCAGCGACCCGCCACCATCACACCGCTAGCGCAAGGCCCATCCATAGACACGCCCAAAGAAGGCGTGGTGGTGTTAATAGAGCCGAGAGAAAGGCAGGAGCCCTTACTGGATCTGAGCGTCAAACGACCGCGGATGGAGCAGCCGCAGCCGCAACAGAGCTTAGCTAAACCGGTAAATATCTGTAGTATAATATGAACTTTATAGTTAGTAATCTTTGGTAGACCTCACACCGCTACCGCAAGGCCTATCCATAGACACGCCCAAGGAAGGAGTAGTCGTGTTAATAGAGCCAAGAGAAAGACAGGAGCCCTTACTGGATCTGAGTGTCAAAAGGCCGCGCATGGAGCAGCCGCAGCCGCAACAGAGCTTAGCTAAACCGGTAAATATCTTAGTATAATATAAGCTTTATAGTTAGTAATCTTTAGTATAAGGTAGACCTCACACCGCTAGCGCAAGGCCCATCTATAGACACGCCCAAGGAAGGAGTGGTGGTGTTAATAGAGCCGAGGGAAAGACAGGAGCCCTTACTGGATCTGAGCGTCAAAAGGCCGCGCATGGAGCAGCCGCAGCCGCAACAGAGCTTAGCTAAACCGGTAAGAACAGAGTTAATAATTTAGTCAGTACGCAAACTTTTCATCATTATCAATAAATTTTACTAAGGGTCCATTTCCAAAAACGCAATAAAACAGCTAGTTCATCGTTTTTCTTTTCGAACTCATCTGCAAAATTACCAACAACCACAAAATGAACATTTATTTTCTCTCCACAGCCCTATAGAAACTCAATGGACTACCAGCAGTACAGACAACCAGAACGGGAATCACCCACGCAATACAACTCTAAACCCAAACCAGTGGCGGTCCCGCCACGACCCACGGTCAAACCCACGCCCAACAAAGGGTCAATAACCTTAGGCACCCCTGTGGAAACGCGGTTCGACCCTAGAAGAACGCCCCCGGAGACCAAAGGCGGGTCAATAACCGCCGGTACACCAGTGCATACGCATCATATACCCGAGAAGAAGAGCTTCGACTACTATAAGAGAAGGAGTCCCGGCGGGCCCGCGTATTATGCGGGAGTTCAGGGACAGCCCCGGCCGCAGTCGCCGTCTTTCTCACCGGTAAGTCGCTTAGTAAAAAATACGATCAATCTTCGGTATATGATCAAAATGCCAATACATAAACAAATACGGCTAGATAGAACATCAAGATATAAGTATGAATGAACACATATATCTGATGTCAGCATCTTACACTAACACTAGGGTTTATCAGCGCATTGGATGACTCTGTGTCCCACACGAGAAGAAAGATTTAGTATCTTATTTCTGGTATCTAAATTTCACTTTAGATGTTCGTATCCCACTTCTGATACCAATAATTTGAATTGAATTCAATTGAATAAACCTAATTTTGATGACACAATACTTAAATTATGAACTTGTTTTTCTTTCCTATAGCAAAACGCGGGCGCTTACACCGGTCGGCCGTACGCGGTGGACAACCGACAAATA